CCCGGGTTCGATCCCCAGTTGGGTCGATGGATTCGCACTGCTGATGAGACGCAACCAGGTCGAAACGGCTGTCCAGTGCTTCCTAGCTTTTCAGTTCACGCTTCTTTGCTATATACACGACGAATTTCACCTTTGAAATTGAATAAAATCCTCCATTACTCACATAAATCACAAAAGTATGTACTTCTGTAATTCTCCGCCGCCTGACACCCTTAAAGGAGGTGATTATCCACAAATAGCAGGCTGGATTCCGACCAAGTCGCAGTTGCAACCACCAAATCTGCCTCAAGTCCTTGTATTGCGTCACGCACATCGTCGACCAACAATCACAGTGTTCCTTGACCTAAAAGAAGCCTTCGATTCAGTTGACTGTGAAGCTCTTTTGGGGTCACTACTTCGCAAAGGAATGCCGCAAAAGTATGTAAACCAAATGCGGTCGTTGTACCTGCATACTTCTGACAACCTAAGGGTCTACGGTGGGCTAAGTAAATCGTTCGAAACCAGGAGCGGTGTTCATCAGGAAAGCCCTATTTCGCCGTTCCTGTTCCATTTTGTCGTAGGCGAAATACTGGAGAACGCACTAAGTGTTCTCCAAAACGTAAGTATTGAACGGACAGCTGGAGAAAAGTTATGCGATTCAGAGTACGCGGATGATATCATTTTTCTGTTTGAATCTATGGAGGATACGCAAAGCGCTCTTGACCGACATGTTCTGTAACTTCATTCGGTATGCGCTTTGCACCTTCAAAGTGCAAAGTTATGCTACAAGATTGGTTGTCGTCTACCTCCGTGCTGCTGCTTGATGATCAAGAATAAATTATAGTGGAATGTTTCTCTTACTGAGGTAGGGATGCAACAAATGACGGTAGCGTAGTCAATGAAGTAACCGCCCGCATTTCCAAGGCTCGGGCAGCTTACGCAGGACTGAAACACCCGTGGTGCAGACGCGATGTTTCGTTGAAACTAAAGGTTGTGTGTACTGCGCCAGTGTGCGGTCAGTTCTGCTCTGTGGTTGCGAGACCCTAAATTCGCGCGTGGAAGATATTCATTGTCTAGAAGTCTTCGACTGCCGATGCTCACGTATTTTGGCGCGGGTTGGATGGAGCGAGCTTGTGAGCAACTCTAAGGTAAAGCGTCGCGTATTTGGTAATGATTCCATAGAGAAGTCGCTTCCCCATCGAATTTGGATTAGTCGGCTTCGCTGGCTGGGACACGTATTGTGTATGCCCAGCAATCGCCTACTGCACCGCGCCTTATTCGCAGTTTCGGCGCCAGGTTGGAAGAAACCCCGTGGAGGTCAACAGATGCCGTAGAAGCGAGGCATGAAGAAATGCACAGAGCGATTAGGTAGAATAATGGTCTCCTATCTTTCAGGTTGGGGTCCAAAAGATTGCAACTGACTGGTAACCTTGTTACCCTACTTCGCTGTATCTCGCTGTTTAATGGTAATGATGATGATCGAATTCATATGTTTAGGGTTGAACATCAAGCCCTTTTGTCCGGGCCGCTGTTGTCCATCATCAAGATAAAGATTGCGAGCTGCGTTCTTTTCTGCATGAAGTATACCACGCCAACACCAAAATTCTTTTCATCATTGAAAGAGACAGTGGTGTTTTTTCTTTGTTGGTGCCCCTACGACGAGGCTTCTGTGAAGTGTGGGGACTAAAATAATTGCTTTGTTTTCGGTTTTCTCACTTAACGAACAAACAGTTGTCATGCTTAGAAAATCTATCTCACTTCCACAAATGAGTCCGCGGTTTCACTTTACGCAATACAATTATATTTGGGACGAAATGTTGTCAGTTAATTAAATAAATTGGATAGGTAACAGTTTTTTACCATCCGCATGGTGACCGAAATCCACTAGAGGAACATTTTTAGTATTTCGTGTGTAATTGAATGAGGATGTATGTTTGCTATTCAGTTGAAATATTGGTATTTCTTTTTTCTATTTGAGAGGCAGCGTTGGGCTCTGTGTTAGATGTATCTTTCAGTGTTTGTATTAAAAAACAAGTGGTTTGCTTCAAGACAATTATAGCCTCAGTGGAATTTAGCGTACTACTTCATTCAGGACATAGGCCGAAACAACCTATCCAGCTGCTCATGTCCACGTGTGCTCCTGATCACTCATTGTATCGCGACTCGCACTTTTTACTGGACCGACCGAAGTCAGTTGCGTAATGTTCGTTCATTCGCGAATAAAGCTAACTCGATCTACCGTCGAGGGTAAAAAGATCTTGGCGAAAAATAATCGAACCCCGCTAAAACCCACTCACTGCGGTGATGTTTGTCTAAATGGTTCTTGATCACTGTCCTCGTCGCGGGATAAGAGCAATGTCCTAATCTGGTCAACCCAAGTCTATTCGCTCTTCTACTTCATGCTTTGATCAACCAACCAAGCCCATTTGCCGGTTTCGTCACACGATCATTCGGGCAACCTGTGTCTGATGGAGGGTTGTCGCACACGATCTTAGAGGTCAGTCCGTAGGTGCGTTCAGGCACGTGTGCTTATTTACACTTGATTACAAAATGCAGTACGGTGCATTCCAGCTGCGACTCTTGGGGAACGGGGGTGTGTATCGTTCTGTAGCATTCACTGCAATCCAGTATTGATTGGTCCCTGAACCACGTTTACAAGACTGTCCCCAGAATATCTCACTGCTGTTTGCGTTACAGTCAACGCATAGATACACACATGCTTTTCATGGATCGGAGGGACTAATGTGCACATGCGCTTGTGCATTAGGGCCGGGTCTAAACCACGCGGAAATCTGGGCCATATGTTGATTGTGCAGTAGTGAAACTAAGAATTAAACTTTGGCCGATTGAGAGTCTGACTATTTGGTGGGCCGGAGCTACTGATTTATCTCTATATACCTACATGGGATATTCTCTGCGTAATGTTCCTATCGGTGTCTTGGTTGTCTTATATCTTTTCAGCCAGTACTATTCAATTACTGCCGAGTGTTTTGGGTAGTTGAACAGCAATAGATGCATGAGAATTTCTATAGTTAAGGAATGTTTTTTTTCGGGTTACTGGGATTCCTTATGATCGATTTACCTGCATGGTGCCCACCTATCTTTTAGGCCAATGGGGCTTTATCGCCGCGGTCGATGAATGCTTTACTCGGTTGCGATGAAGATGGTGATACGGACGAATTGCTTCGCGCTGCTGCTGCTCAGGCCGAATCCAGTCGGTTAATAGACGATGACGAACTGGTCAGGAAGATTGCAACGGGTGCACCGGGTGATGCTTCTGACGACGACGATGATGTTCATTCTATTGACTTGTCACGGATCAAATCAGGATTTCTGGATCTGGATGGTGATATGAATCCAGACGCCCCCGTTGTCGACGGACAGAAAGAAGTAAATCTTGGAACAGCGGCACTTGATACTGTCATGAAAACAGCTGGTCCCCTTGGTCCCTCAGCTGCTGGTGCAGGTCAGGATCCATCTCGTCTGACGAACCGAGTTCAACAACCTTTTCAACCCGGATCAATGCCTTTGGGTAAGCCGGGGGAATTAGTGTACTATCTAAGGCATCAAAAGTTTATGATGGTCACACAAAATACTTGATTACTGTTACATGCATTACTCCACTCCTGTTTCTCATTATATCCACTAACGTGCTGCTTTATTCTCGTTCCTCGAAGTGTGTTATGAAATGCATACGATGTAGTAGATGTTTATTTTCAATTCATACGGTGTTACTCGCGGTACGATTCTCGGGTGAAATAACCGATTAATTGAAGATACAGTTTGATCTAGCGATAATCTGACCCATGGTTATCTTGACTATTTTCCATCCCTTCTCATTTTCTTTTCTTTTGACAAGCCAAAATGTTTGTTTTTCACTTTCTAGGTTTTCATGAACGTTTTATGGTGTGGAATCGTTACGGACTAGTTATACAGTACCGCTCAACTGATTCAGATACAGAAAAGCCGGACGACGTGGAACTGACATCAGCTGGCAGTATTGAGGTGGAGTTCCATGATACAACTGTACACCACAGTCTGCGTCTGAGCAACACAACCGGGTACACCATGGCTGACTTGAGTCTCACCGGTTTACTCCTAGCTTCACCTGTATGTGAATCGTTCTTTTTACTTGGTTGTCAATTTCATCCCCCCCCCGCTCTGTCAGGTGGTGTGTGGCATGAAATATGTTTACTGATAGATATACACCACTCATTATGAACCATTGGTTCATGCATCCCGTGTTCAAGTTCACACGATTCAGTATAGCAAAAACATTGGCAGTTCTCGCAAATTATCTACCCACCACCTCTTAGTTTTCTTCCTCTAACCAAGGGTTACCAATAGGAATTTCAGTCTTTGGGACTTCCTTCTGGATACGTCCTTTTTAGAATAGGTGAATTCTCAACTATTCTTAACTAGGTATCATAGGTTTCTAAATTAACCCGGTTGTAATCCGTGAGTGGAACTGTTTGTGTTTGTCTGAAATTGACAGATTTGGTCTTACTCCTTAATTGCTTAATGAACAAGTAATGATTTACCGTTGGTTGAACGTAGCATCCAGCGTGATGCGCTTCTTGATAGTTATTACCAGCGCTCTGACTTCATTCTTGTGTTGGCGGCCAAACGGTTTGAGTCGCTGTCATCGCTGCTTTGGGACCTAGGGTTAGAAGTTCGAACCCCGCCACTGTGACCCAACTTTAGTGATGGGCGGCTTCGCTGTCTTTCGACTCAATGCCACACCTAACCTTGCGCGAACTAATGTGACTTTCCAATCCGATTCCCCGGGCTAAGGATGCCGGTTTTCATGAGTCAACAGCGGGCCCCCATGATATTGGGGTTTCCCTTGTCTTCTGTTCTTCACAAAAACGTGTGTGATAAAATTCAAAGTTTTATTATGGGAAATACTTGCAAGCGGTTGCTTTTCTAGTCCCATAGGATTTGGCACAGATGAATCGGTTCACAGTACATGCAAAGTAGATGAATGTCACAATGTCACAATTTGTCCTTGTTTCGTGCACTTCTACGGATGTTAAAATTTAAGACTTTTCAAAGCTTCATCCAGATTGTGCTTGAATGAATCAATTGTTGGTGCACAGACAACTTGTGGTGGTAGAGAATTCCAAGTAATGCACACTCTGAGGGCGAATGAATGACGCCGGCATTCTAGTCGGCAATTTTGGAGCGCTAATTTGAATGAGTGCCCCCGCAGGTGAGTGTTGGGTGACAAGGAAAAGAATGGACGACATGGGTGATCTGGGTTTCGCATTATTTGGTATACCAAGATCAAATCTCCTCGAATGCGGCGATACTGTGTGGAGTACAGTTGCAGTGATTCCAGTCTTTCCGCATAACTCTTGGAATGTAGTCCTTTGACCATTTTGGTAGCCATTCTTTGTGGACGTTCCAGAATCTTTTGATCGCGTTGCGCCATGGATTCCATGCCTGAATGGCGTACTCTGTGTGGGGTCGAATGTAGGCTAATAATCTTGGGAACAGCATTGGTTCAAATTTGCCCAATACTCGTTTTAGCAAACCAACGTATCTTACAGCGGTAGACGATGCCCGGGAGCAGTTTAAAGAACAGCTTAGGTCGTCTTGAACAATGACGCCGAGATCCTTCTCATTCGAGGCGTATGGAAGTTGTTGATCTCCTAGAAAATACGGGAACCGAGTTTTGTGTCGGATAGTGGCATTTATCCCTATGGAATATTGTTCAGATAACCTTTTCTCATCTGTTGCAATTTCCCCATGTGCCTATGATACTTTAGTTGTCGAAGTCGGACACCCGACGAATTTCGCAGTCTTTTTAATCTTTATGATTTGTGCACTTCGTATCCCTGATCAGTTTACGACACATCTTGATGTTCCTCGTAACACGTGAATAGGTGAGGAGCTTTCCCTCTCATTGTTCTAACCATTTGAATGGAATAGAATCTCACTAAACAGGCTTTTCTGTGGTGGTAAACAGTTTGGCTCTAGGTGTAACCCCATAGCCGTTATCATGTGTTTCGTCACTCCATTGTGTGGGACTCAAGTTATCGATCCTGCTCACCACGATGTGGATCCGCATTGCGTACTAGTTTACCTATCCTTCTTTATGCCTTATTATTGACATCGATAACCTCTGAGTAATCTCTGCTTGTTTTATGACACCCGTGGAATTTGTATGATTTCCTCTTTTTTGCGGGGAGTCACTGGAGATGGTCGTGCAGCCTTTCGTATATCTTATTGCTCTTTCACTTTATTTGTCCCTTTAAACCAGGGTGTTCACGATCCCAGCTTGGTGGATGATGCAGACACCGGCGAGCTGATTGACCCCTCAGATATTAGTCAGATTGCTGTTCTTCCACTTGATACAAGCAAGGTGGGAGGTGGTGACTCGTCTTCCGAATGGACAATCAAGCTTCCTCCGGGGGAAGCCTGTGAAGCGGTTTGCTTAGTTCCTAGTGATGACTTTCAAACGAATCAAACGGAACCGGGGTATGCAGTTGTGGCTACGTCCCGTCGTTTTCTTCGTATATTCGCCCAGCCTACACCGTCCGCAGCATTATTACGACCTTCAACCAGTCTACATTTATTCCAGATCACAAAATTGGGCCTTCCTCCAGTAAGCTTACCTGGATGTGGCGTTGTGGCGATGGCCAGTCATCCTTCTAGAGCAGTTTTAGGTATGGTGGTCACGTCTGCTACTGGTGAACTTATGTGGCGCTTGTTCTACCTTGGTGGAACGATACTTGGTTCCCGTCGCACTCGTCAACCTAATTGGCTTAACCAGTCATTGGT